CCCCAAAACCCCAAAACCCCAAAACCCCAAAACCCCAAAACCCCAAAACCCCAAAACCCCATATATGGCCTAACATGCTGAAAGTAGTGTATAATAAAAGATATGGAAGCCGATAAAATTCTTGAAAAGGTCCCTGAGATGTGCAAAGAGTCTGTCAATAAGGCATCTGACGATGAATTCGTCAAGGATAGCACCCCAGTGAAAGGATATGACTTTAACAAAGGAGTCAACTATGATGAAATGTTTAAGATGTACAAGCAAACAGGAATTCAGGCTACTTCTTTGGGTGAAGGGATTGATATCATTAATAACATGATTAAGTGGAGGCTCTCTGATGAAGAAATAGCTGAGGATGAAGATGATGAGTACTTGGACCCAGAGGTTAGGAAGAATACTAGATGAACCATCTTTCTTGGATACACCTCTAACATGATTAGCTGTGGTATGAGAGAGGTCATTAGGTATCTCTGCCAACACAAAATGGTAGACTGCATAGTTACTACCACTGGAGGGATTGAAGAAGATTTTATCAAATGCTTCAGTGACTTCTATATTGGTGATTTTAATCTTCCTGGAGCTAAGCTCAGAGATCTCGGGATCAATAGGATCGGAAATATGTTGGCTCCAAATCAATGCTACATTGATTTCCAAAACTTCTTCATTCCTTTGATTAAAGAATTGCATGAAGAGCAAAAGGAGCAAGGTACTACCTTCACTCCTAGCATGCTTATTAACAGGATGGGTAAGGCCATCAATAATGAAGAGAGTGTTTACTATTGGTGCTGGAAAAATGATATCCCAGTGTTTTGCCCATCAATTACTGATGGAGCTGTTGGAGATAATCTCTTCTTCTATAACTATAACCATCCAGGGTTCGTTATTGACATCGTACAAGACATTGTGAAAATTAACAAGATAGCTATGGAAGCAAAGCACACTGGAATGCTAATCTGCGGTGGAGGTCTTATCAAGCATCACATTTGCAATGCAAATATGATGAGAGATGGAGCTGATTTCTCAGTTTACATAAACACTGCACAAGAATTTGATTGTTCTGACTCTGGAGCTAAGCCAGATGAGGCTATTTCATGGGGTAAAATTAGACCAGAAGCCAAGAGTGTCAAAATCTACGCGGAAACATCCATTGTCTTGCCCTTAATAGTCTCTCAGACCTTTGCTAAGTACCATGATGAGGCTAGGAAAGTCAAGGATACGGAATAGGTACTAAACATACTGAATTCTAGAGCGATTTAATTGGATGAAATTATTCAACTCTAGCAACCAATTTGGGGTTTTGGGGTTTTGGGGTTTTGGGGTTTTGGGGTTTTGGGGTTTTGGGG